CCTCCCCCTGCCTTGGATTCGAGGAGGGATTGCAGGATCGCGGTATCCTTCAACGGCGCCTGGGCGAGCTGCGCGAGCTTCCCTTCCATCTCCGACATCATCGCCACGAGTTGGCTGTTGTCATCGCAGACCTTCGCGAGGGTATTCGACAACGACGCGTTTTCCGCCTCGGATTGCTTCAGACGGCTCGCGAGGGCCTCAAGGCCGTCAGGGCCCCCATTCCGAACGGCGCTGCGCCTTTTTAACTTCGGAGTGTTCGACGACCTCCGACTACTGCTGCTCTGGTCGCGTGCGTCATCGATATTGGTTACCCCTTTCATAAGGAGGGATACGTTGGAAAGGAGTCCCTATAACACAATCCAGGCAGCGGCCACGACGCTCCCAAACGAGCTAAAAAATCAAAAAAAAAGCGCCTACGAGAACGACTCTCACGCGCCAACACAAGGTTGTTTAACTGCTGCAAATTAAAACAAATGCAAAAAATGTACTTTTTTGATCTTGATAGAGCTAATTGTATTAGGAAAAATCCTTCTAAACGCGTCTAATCACTCTACACTGTCTTTGTTCACTGCAAAAAAAAAAAAGACAAAAGAAGAACGACTCGTATTCCCGTTCCTGCATCTATAGGATCGGATACAATGGTTAACAGAGCAAACACGGCTTTTTTATATGAGCCCATGTGATTCTTTACTATTTTTTGCTCAGGTGCACGAAAATTCAACAAAGGCATATTACTTGCTCGTAAAATGTACATTGTTCTAAATACGTGCCTTCTTTAAAAGATCCCTACATGAAAGCTTGAGGGTCTTACTATACGATTTTTAGGCAACATTACATGCCATTAAGTAGAAAACTCCTTTAGAAACAACTAAAAAAAAGAAAGGAAAACATCAATACTACTAAACCATATAAAATACGGAAGTTTAGTTTGATCATGTCTTGAAAAATGTGTGCGTATATATATATGAAAAAGAACAGTCCTCTAGGATATTCTAAAATATACGCCATGTCATTCTATTGTGTCCGTGGCGGACCCTATTTTCTTGCACGCTCCATGGCGTCTCTACAGGCAATCTTATAGAGAGCATCAATGAGCTGTTGTATATTTACCACTTGCTTAACCATGCAGAGGATGGAGCATGGTAATAGTAAACACCACATAATCGTATGAAGGAAGGGGTGATGCTGAGAAAAATGATCGGCATAAAGAAGAAGGTACGTAAATTCTTGCCCAATACACAAGGCCCCCATCAATCTTCGATCGGAATAGTACTTCCGGAGCAAGAAGAAAATGCTATTCGAAGCATCCTTATGGCTTTCCTTTTGCATGAGTAAAGACGCGTACATGCGGCAGAAATGAGATGCAACGTCGACGAACGCGAGCATTGCTAAGACTAAGGTGAAAATGTACGGCTTCGGCTGCACCACGCCCGCCAACATGACGAGAAACCCCACGGTGGAAGCACGATCAGTAAACATGTCGAGGATTCCCCCGAATCTTGAGCACTGATTCAGTGCACGTGCTGCAATGCCGTCAACGGCATCAAGAATAAAAGAGGCGGTGTAGAGAAGTACACAAAGAAGGGGTCGGCGGCTCGCAACGCAAAAAGACAGAATAGTGAACGCAATTCGGACGTAGCCGATAAGATTGGGCACGAGTAAAAAAACCCTCGTTGGCCTAGCCACCTCAAGCTGGTTTCTGGTATACATCCTAGATGTGTTTTACCTCTTACGTTGGTAGTGGTGGTCTTGGTGCTCCTATACTGATAAATACTACAAATATGATTCTTATTTCAGTTGATGTTGTATGGTACGAAAAAGAGATAAAAAGAGTGAGGATATATAAAAGAGGAAATAGTCTGGCAACTTTGCACCTATCCCCCCTAACCTCCACCTTGCAAAAGCAGTTTTCTCTGAGGATACAAAATGACAACACCTTACCTTTACACAGCTATTTAAATATATATATATATATATATATATAATTGTGCGTTCGAGGACGCCCTATCGTCCGCCTTCTTGATCGCCACTCTTCTTCAATTCATCACGCATCTCGTCGACGCTGAAAGGGCACGCCTTATACTTAAGAATGGGATACCTAAAGTAAACGTTATTTGACGCGAGATGCTGCTTCGCTAAGCAGCGGTTGCACTCGTCTACGTGCTCGCTCGCGAAATTGTCGAAGGTCTGCCGCATTCCGCATATCGTGCAAAGCCGCTTGCAGTGCAAACACGTCAGACTTCGCTGAGGCCCTATACGGTGGGAAAAATGGGCGGCCGGCAGGAGCGACTGGCATTGCGTGCATCGCAAACGCAAATTCTTCTTCGATGCCCACCATAGCCTCGAGAAGTACATGGACGCCACTATCTCTTCTCCCCTCCCCCCCCCCCCTCCTGATTGAATGTGTGCTTCTAAAAGTGAGAAACTACAGAATAAATTTTAGATACAATGCTATCTGGATAAGAATATGAAACAGGGAAAAGGGGGGGGAGGGGAAGGAAGGTAGGTAGGTGATAAACAGAAATCCAGGGAGGGAATTCCAAAAAAACAGACTAAACTGGCGTGATCTCCCCCTCTCTTCCTCCACCCATGATTTTTCGACGGAACATGTCAAAAACCATGACTTTTGAATAACAATAATTCTAATAGGAAAAATAGAAGTGGATGGTGATGGAAGGAATGCGTACGATAAAGAACTAGGGTCTCGTATTGAGAAGAACGACAACGATTTAACCGCAAGGAAACCCCACGCGGAGAGGGGAAAGAGAGAAAGAAGAGGAGAAGATCAGCTTCCACGAACAGCCCATCATCGCTAACGAGGGGGTTAGCGAACCCTACCATGGTGCGGATTCGTCCGAACATTCCCCATCTGGCAACCCCAACCCACCATGATCCACCTCCCTTTTCTTCCGCTTTTCCTTTTGGTTTCTTCTCTCCCTTTCCCATTTGAGGGTCATCAAAAAAACCGCATCGCGTAATCGCAGACGATGACATCATCGCCGAGCCGCCGCCGCACCTCCGCGAGGACCTCCGCCGCGAAATCCGCGCGATCGGGAACGACCGCCGCGAGGCCGACCCCCCCACCGCGGACGACCCCCCCACGGAGGAGCTCCTCCGCGTAAACCCGCGTCGTCGCCTTCGTCGTGGCGAGGAGGTGGTCGTGATAACGCGCGCAGAGCTGCTCCCGCAGCACCCGCCGCATGGCCGCCTCAAACGCCGGCAGCGCCCCACGCTGCATTCGATTCGCCCCCTCCCTCGGACGAATCCACGCCTCGACGTAAATTCGCTCCCCCGCCGAAGAAGAAGAAGAAGAGGAAGTGGAGGTTTCCCGCGAGATCACCGGGATGGGATCGGGAAAGAGCTGATCGCCACAGCAAACCCCCGTGGGGGTGCGCACGAAGCGATCCGCCGAGAGCTCCGCCGCGGCGTCGACCACCACCACCGCGCGCGCCTTTTGTTGGTAGACGTGGAGGCGTTCCCAGAGGCGGTGGAGGGTGATCGTCCGCGCGCGGATCCGCCGCGGGGTCGTTTCCGCATGCTTTCCCTCCCCCTCCTCTTTTTCCACCCCGTTTTCCTTCCTTTCCTCTTCCGGATCGATCGTCACGACCCGTCGACGGCCCGTCCACCGATTCTCGATAATCACGTAATCGCTGGGGAAACCGTCAAAAATGCTGTTTTGGTAGGGCGCCGGATCGGTGGTGAGGTGAAACGAGGAGGAGGTGCCCCACACCAACGCGTAAACCCCCACGACGACCGCCCCCACGACGTAAACCCCGACGCGCAGCCGCATAAACCCCTCCGTGAAACCCCCCCGATGGCTCTGAAGGTGGGTAAGGAAGTCGTAGCCGTGTTGCCCGTACTGCGCGAGATGCCGTGGGGGGTCGCGAACCCGCGAAACCCCCGGCGGGGGCTTCTCCGTGGAAGCCCCTTCAACGATCGATCGCGACCACGAAGACGGAGACGAAGACGACGAAAAAGACGACGAGGAGGAGGAAGAAGCGCGCGCAGCCTCGAGAAGGGCCCCTCCGCCACGCCACACGGCCTGAACGGGCCGAAGACGATACCGACACCCCAACATCCTATCCCTAAACGGATACGGCAAAGAACGAAATCCCGTTCAAAAAAATCCACCCCAAGAAAACGGCCTACCAATACGGATGTGTCAGAATATAAATGAGGAAAAAGGGAGAATATATAAATGAAGAAACGGGCGAATAAAAACCTTCACATAGTATAATGCAAAAAGCAGTCCCCCTCCTTTCCTTCCACCGCGAAATCGCTTGATATCACGATACCTCTTTATTTGGTTGGTTATCATAAGCAGTTGGTTTTTTCTCTCCATCTATTTCCCCCCCTCCCAGATTGACAAAATGCGAGGGATTCGGTGGGTTCTCCCCCTTGTGGGATTGCCGCCGCATCTCATCCAACCCCCCTCCTCCCCGCTTCCATCGTCTTCCCCCTCCGCTGCTGATTCATCCCCCCCCCTTCACTCCGGTATCGGGGAGCGACGCTAGGAGAGAGTGAATCATCGCCAAATTGCTTTTCTTCGACGCCAACTCCTCCTCGGCGTGGTGGATCGCCCGCTTCGTGAGCACGCAGAGCGCCCGGAGCTGACGAAAACTCAGCTCCCGCAGCTTCGCGGCGCGAATCGCGGGGTTGCTGTAATCGCTCCGCGCCACCTCCGCGTGCAGCGTCGTTTTAATCGCGTCTAAACGCTGCTGGCGAGCCTCGCGGCGGGCCCTTCGCGCTTCGACGGCGTCGTCGCCCGCGATCAGCTCCCCCCCTCCTCCCCCTCCGGTCGAGGGAGCGGCAATCGCGAGCTGCGTGGATGCCTCCGGCGGCGGCGCCTCCGTCGCCTTCCACACCACCAGCCTCGTCTCCATATTCACAAACGAAAGCCCGTGAAACGAAAGCGCGTTGCTCACGCTGTCAACCTTGGCGAAGATCACGGCGAGGCGGTCCTGGTCGATCACATCCCACGCCTCGATCGCGCCGCAGCGCTGGAGGAGGAGCCGCAGTAAATCCTCGCGGTCCTCCTCCGCGCAGTGGCAGAAGTACACCGTCCGGTGCAGCTTCCCGACGTAATCCAACGGCATCCTCCCTACGCGCGTTTGAAGATCAACCAAACGGAACGATGGGTATGTGTGTGTGTGTGTGTGTGCGGAGAAGGCGAGAAACAACAGAAACACGCCACGACGCACGCACCGAAGGCCACCTTTTAGGGCACGGCGGTGTAATCTCTCCTTCTCGAAAAATGAGACCTAAACCCCATAAAAAAAGAAAATGAAAATGAAAAAAGGTAGATGAGAAAACAAAATAAATGGACCACCACGAGAAGCGGAAAGAGGCAACGTTGGAGACGAGAGAATAGGTAAAAAAAAGAAAACAAGCACGCAGGCAGACAGAATCTTCGGTGTCAAAGAAAAAAATAGTAAAGAAAAACTCGTCCAACATCCTTTCTCCATTCGTACCCCAAATGTAGCCCCTCATGTGGGGGGGGGGGGAGGGGGGCTCTCACCGGATGAAT